CACGGCCGGCTGGGGAGGTAGGGGCATGTGAGGCGCTGCCAGGGTGCGTAACATGGCCCGCTCAGCGAGGTAGGTATGCGTGCTTGCTCCTGCTACCTTCTGTCCAGCCTGAAGAGTTGGATCCGCTAAACCTGTGAACAGGCTGCTTTGCTGGTGAATGTCATCTGTCGCTCCCGGCTTGCGGGACTTGCTGGGCTTCAGTTTTCAAAGTGTACCTGCAGTATTTCTTCTAAAGGAACTCTGTGGGTTGTTATGGTTCACAGTCAATCTGTAAATCCAGATGTCCAAGGTGATGTGACACAGTCGTTCAGAAGTTACTGCTGTTTAGGCAACAAAAAGCATTCTGCAACTCTCCTTTAAGTGGCAAGAACTTGTAATCCGTAGACTTGTAGTTATGCTTTTTTTTTTTTCCCCTCCAGTTAATGGAAATACTTGTTTGTTTTGTTTCCTTCTGCGTAAACGATGTTCTAATTCTGAGACAAAGCCTATGTCTTGCACATCACGTCGGGGATGGTCCCTCTGTGTCTGTATGGAAACTTCCCTACCTCAGGAGGAGTCTGCAAACCTGAGGCTCTGTGAGAACCAGCTTGTCAGATTAGCTTTACCATGCCTCTTGCCTGTCTACCAAAAAGTTCCTCAGTGGGAAATTGTACTTGATTTTAGCTTTGATTTCCTAAGGAAGTAAGGCCTATGTGATTGTATTGTCAGTTTATCTTTTCCTTTTTTTTTTTTTGACTGGTTTGAAAGGGAGAGGTCTAAAAGATAAGATTAAGTTCCTAAGTTGTGCAAATAGCATCCAGTTAGAGAGAGATTCCCTGCTAAGGGAGAAGCTATACCCTTTGAGTGTAACTGCATTGTTAGACATCAATGACTGGGTAGGAGAAAAATGGAGATGGTAAGAGGTGTCTCTTGGTAAGAATGAAAACTGCTGGAAAATGGGCTTTACAGTTTTCACAAACTGCTTGGTTTGGGTGATGGCACTAAATACTCTGTGCCCTTTCATCTTGGAAGCAGTTAAAGGTACTTTTTCTAAGTTTGAAAATACTGTGCAACCCAGAGTTCAACTGAAAATATGTGCATTACCAAATTGGTATGGATATTTGGTAGTTTTCCTCATGTAAGTTTGTCTTTTAAAACATAATGCAGTTTGCAGTGCTTATGACTTGTCTTCATAACAGTAATGTTCTGTCAATTCAATATGGACAAACCTTGGAAGAAAAGCTAGACCTCTACTCAGGTTTACAGGGCTGAAAAATGCCTTTAATTGAAATTATTTCCATGCAGTATCACAGATACTTAATCTCTCTTTTATGGATACTTTTCCATTCCACTCTAAATGCTTGCTATTTAATGTAGCATCTTTCGTACTGGAATTAACAAGTTCTTTTTCTGTTTACCAGTATTGTTTGCTATTTCTTCTCACTGGAGTATCCGAAGTATCTCCCAAGAATTTAGAAGTAAAATCACCAAGTTAGATGGAAAAATAAATGGTTTGATTTGTTTGGGGGTTTTAGGGATATGATTGTGTGACCGTGTTTAAAAAAAAAAAAGGTTACTGAAGAAAAGGCGGGCTTGAAAAAGCAGAGGTGTAACCTTTTCACAGCAGAGAGTTTCAAAGTCTAGATCTCTCAGTCCAAGTCGTCTTCAGGTCTCTAACATTATGTGTATTTGATCCTTTTTTTTAATAGCAAACAAAACTTTTAGTCTTTTTTTTAATTACTACTGCTGCTTAAAGAAATAGGTAAATGATGATTCTTTTGTGAATGGAAGTTAAAACAGTGTATCTCTGTTATATACATCTAGGGATGTTCTTAGCTTGTTAGAGTCCCTGTTAGAACACCTTGAGTTTTTCTTTGGTCTAATCAACTTGAGAAAATAAAACAGCTTCTCTTTATTTTCATTTAACTTTGCTTTTTGTAGGAGAAAACCTGCTTTGGGAATACAAAATGACATATGTACCCCAGTGTAAAATCATGCTTATTCCATTATGAATATGTGCTTTGTTGATGTGTTCTTCACTAGTTCTCTATGAATTCACAGTTTCTACTTAACCTAATACATAATTGGGGGGGAAATATCTTTGAGACAAGTTTTAAGTCATAAACATGTTTAATTGTGAACATGTTTAAGCATAACATATAAACAGTAATTAGTGTAGTACATGATATGACACTTATGGAACAAGTTTAATGTTTACATTTTTGTAAATACACATCATCTTAGTTCTTGGTATTCAGGGAAGACTTTTTTTTAAATTTTTTTTTGCCTCTGCTACTTTTGGTTTCAGTTTACTTACTGAATGTCCAGAGAGAATTGATCTTTTTTTAAACACAGGAAATGTCTTTTTCCCTCCCCACACCAGTGTATGCAGACACTGGAAGGTAAAAGCCACTAATTCATAAAAATAGAATGTGCAATTGAGGGACAAGAGGAGAGAATTCCTGAAGTATGTAGGCATGTATCTCATTTCCAGTGTCAATCTTCATTTCTGGTACTGTGGGCCAGGTCTTTACTTCACTTTAGTTAATGAATTGATATTGATTTTTAAACAAAGGTGAGATGTTTTACACTTTTTCTGAATGATCCAGTATATTTAAGGTAGCTATGAGTTTTATAGAGAAGCAGCATTGAAAGGTTTTCTGTCATTAATCAAATTGTGATTTGTATGTGGAAGGAGAAGGGTAATACATTTGCTATCAGAGTCTGTAACAAATAGTTTAGAATATGATATTTACTTAAAAAA